ACCAATGAGATGGGAGTGCCGACAGCTGGAAGAGGTTAGGCAGTGCCCCGATGGTGTCAGCTACAGATCACTCAAGAACATCGTCTGCCTTCCTCTAGCCTACCTTGACTTCTTCCTCTGGTTTTATTTCTTTCGTATTTATTTCCCAGTGTTGAAAGGCTGCTGCCCTGCAACTATATTTTCAACTTATTTTACTGGGTATATCTTGTGCCCTGTGTGGCTGGTAAGTTCTCTTGAGGGCGGGAACACGGTTTCCAAATGCTCAGATAACAGGACACAAATTCCAAACACAGATGTGTTCATGGGTTTCCTCTGTCCCTTGAGGCCACTGCAGAATATTCTAAAATCGCCAACACTGCCTTTCTCTTCCCAAAGGAAAGTCTTCAGCGAATGAGCAGCTAGGTCTACAGCATAATAATGGAATGAGGGGCTGGGGGGAGAGGAAAGTGGCTCAGGGCTCAGAGTGGAGTTTGGGAAGGACTTTCAGCGTGCACAGCTCTGATGCAGCATCTGGGCACACAGGGAAAGGAGGACAAGGAGGGTCTTTCCAAGCATGCTGTTAGGGATGGTAGGTCCAAGTCCCTTTGTGGTTTTAAAGAAAAGTAAGTAAAGTATTGGAGTTATTCTGAAATTACTTTTGATTGGTATACTGTGTATTTGGATTGCAATGGATTTTTGAGACTGAACTACATAGATTCTGGGCTTAGGTAAGGACTCAACTGTATTTTCCAGAGGGCAAAAATGCACATGCCATAGGTAACCAGTAAATGCTTGTTGAATGAATTAGTGGATATTTGTGAACGTTTAGAGCTGGAATATGCCTTAGAGACTCTAGTCTAGGTATGTGAAGCTCAAATGCCTCTGTAAAATTTCCAGATAAGATGCAAGATGTCCAGTGAAATTTGAATTTCAGACTAAAAAAGAGTACTTGTTAAAGTATAAGTATGTCCTAAATATGACATGGGACAAACTTACACTAAATTTGCTAAATCTGGCAGCCTAGGTTTAGGAAATGTGCCAGTCGTGGAACTTAATCAAGTGCAACAAGCCATCAGAGGATCGGGAGAGCCGGGGAGTGGGGGTGTTTCAGGATTGGTGGGCACAGGTCCTAAGTGCATTTCTTTAAAAAAAAAAAAAACACAACAAAATCATCCTCTGGGCAAAACAAAATGCACCTTTTAAGCTAATGTCCTTATTTTAAGTAAGGAATCTGAAATGCAGAGGAGAGGAGAAGCAAGGAGCCTGCAGACCCCAGGCAGTCAAGGCAGAGACGAGGCTGGACCCAGGTTCCTCCCCCGCGGGCCGCTGTCCGCCTGCCCCACATCACAGGGCAGGGTGTGCGCGTGTCTAAATGTGTGGCTTTTGATGCGCGCCCACCTTCAGAGGGCAGGTGATGGGCGAGTATTCAGGGTAAGAGCAATTTCGTGGATCACTAGGCGTAGCCAGTGCACATTCTCCCCAAAGACCCTGAGTAGACCCCCTTGGTCTCCTGTTGCATCCAGCAGACACTATGGCTTTTCTCCCAGTGCAGCCAGCTGGTATTATTTTTCTTCATTTTTGCCATCTGAGGTGCTCTTGATGAAGGTACAACAGTTGGGACATTAGGTAACATATTCCATATCTTGGGCAAGTTATCCTGCCTTTCGAGTCTCGTTTCCCTCATCTGAAAAATGGGAGGATGTCAGGTCTCTGATCTCTAATGATGGGGACCGGTGCGCCCCACTTTGCCTGGGAGTGTCCTGGTTTATGCCCGTTGTCCAGTGTAGTCATCAACTGTGCTCCCTTTGTACCCTCCAAGCCATCCTAGTTTGCATGAAAATGAATGGTACCCTCCTAGGCAGTGGTGTGCCAGAGTCGCCCAGCATGGGCTCTCCAGACCTGGTGACTCTGTGTTCCCAGCGAGGTCCCACAGGTAGCTTGAAATCAGCCACAGACAGAGTAGTTACATCACGGCCATGAGCAAGCACTGCTTCCGCCCAGAGAACTGGCTGTTAACACTCGTCAGCACACCGCTGACTCTGCTCTCGCGGTCGACGACCACGTTACATACCTGTCTGGACAAACTGCCAGGTAGTCAGTGAGTGAGCATTTGACTCCAGAATCCATTTTAGTTTTAGTTTTAGTTTTTGGCTGCGTTGTGTCTTTATTGCTGCACGCAGGCTTTCTCTAGTTGCGGTGAGCAGGGGTTACTCTTCGTTGCGGCGCACAGGCTTCTCATTGCGGTGGCTTCTCATGTTGTGGAGTATGAGCTCTAGGCGCGTGGGCTTCAGCAGTTGTGGCACGCGGGCTCAGCAGTTGTGGCTCCCGGGCTTTAGAGCGCGGGCTCAGTAGTTGTGGCGCACGGGCTTAGCTGCTCCACGGCACGTGGGATCTTCCCGGACCAGGGCTCGAACCCCCGTCCCCTGCATTGGCAGGCGGATTCTTAACCACTGTGCCACCAGGGAAGTCCCCAGAATCCATTTTTAAAAAGATATTTTGGTCCATCCATGTTGTTGCAAATGGCAAGATTTCATCGTTTTTACAGCTGAGTAATATTCCATTGTACAAATGTACCACATCTTCTTTATCCATTCCTCTGTCGATGGACGCTTAGGTTGCTTCTGTATCTCAGGTATTGTGCATAATGCTGGGAGGGCAAAACGGGTGGTGGGGGTCAACAGTATGAGACGGAAGGAAACTAGACTTCTGGTGGCGAGCATGCTGAGTGTGGACAGAAGTACAAATGGAATCCTGCACACATGAAACTTATATAATGTTATAAACCAATAAAAATTTTAAATAATGAAAAAAGCTACTTTGGTGACGATTGAGTTGACATAATCAGTGTTCTAGTTCTTCTGTAATTGACGCATGAAAATGTCCACTTAAGCCAATGTCTGTCCTGGTCCTCAGTGGTTATAACGCTGTGAAAGCAAAGTTCCCTGGCTTTGAGTGAGTTTTTCTGTTTCATCCGTCAGTTTGGTTGGATGGACCTGGTTACTGTGGGACACAGTGTCTCAGCAAAGCTGAAAGCCCCAGATGCTCTCGAGGAAAGAGCAGCTTGCAGTTGGCTATTCCGGGTCGCCCCCTGCTTGGGTGACCATTTCACCTGATGCTCTTCTGAAAAAGCGCATTTAAAATGCAGCCTTTGTCACGTGTGGAGAGGCTGCAGGTGAGGCTAGCTTTGCTCCTGGGCTTCCTTCCCCGTGTCTAGGCCGACAGGCTAGGAACTTTTCCCTTGAGATGGGGAGTCTTTTCCCCACCCCACCCTTGGGAAGGGGTGCTGATATCTCCCCACCCTCCAAGAAGGCATGCCTGAAATATGCTGTGTGTGCCCTGAGCGCAGCCACTCACAGAGCCACTCCTCCGACCTCTGAGCTCCTTACGTCATCGGCAGGGAGCCCAAGACCCAGGGGTCACGGATGCTAAAGGCAACACAGAGGGTGAGCGCCGAGGCTTCAACTCCCAAGAAGGCTGAGATTCAAGCAGCCTAGAACATCAGAACGGTGAAGGCCCTTAGGGGTGATAAAGTTACCCCAACTCATTTTACAGATGGGGAAACCAAGGCTGAGAGTGGGCGGGGCCTCCAGGGAGGCGTCTGGACCTGGTTCCCCAGGAGACCTGACGCCGATGAGACACAGACACTTAGAGCACCGCACCTCTTGGGTCCCAGTTTGCTCGTCTACAAACTGGGGAGATGAAGTGTCTACAGCTGAGGGGTTTTGAGACTGAAATGAGATAAAGCCTGCAAGGCGCACACAGAATGCGATGGTTATGCAGCATGGAACTGGACCCATGCAGTTTGATAATCAGAAGTTTGCTGTTATTGTTAGTTGTTGTTGGGGTTTTGTTTTGTTTGCAGTGGCTGTAATTCACCGCTTCTCAGAATCTGTGATCCCCCTTCTTTCCTTCCTTCCTGCGAGGAACCTGAACCTCCTAGTCATGTGATTTGTTCAGGCCCCAGGTGGTTTGGAAAAATCACATACTTCGACCTGCTTTGACACCGTTATAGATTCAAGAATGGGGCTGCAACATAAACCCATCCAATCAGAGCAAATCTCGGGACTTCGGTTGGGTGAGGTGGGGAAGACACCCTGTCTCCTCTCCTGTAGGTGAAGAAGGAAGCATGGAATCTGGTGCAGTTGGCAGCTACCTGACCACCTCGAGGGAAGTCATTGTGTAGGTGGAGCTGCCCTAGAGAAAGAGAAGCACAAGTCTGGTGGCACTGTCAACTGCTGGAACAAACCGAGCCTGAAGCTCGCCTGATCTCTGGATTCTCCAGTTATATGGGTCCATAAATTCAAATTAATGCTTAAACTAGTCTGGATATGTGCTACTTGCACCCTAATCCATTGAAATGCTTTTCTGCGGTGAGGCAGTGCCAGAGCCTTCCAGCTAAATGAGACAGTGTACGGTGAGATAGTGACAGTGAAAAGCATCTCCTACAGCACTTAACACATAAAGGCGCTCCACTGAAAATTCTTAGCTCTCCCTTCCTTCCATCCCTATTGTATTCAAAGCAATTTCAACTACACCGTCTAAAGTTAGATTTCCAGACTGCTCACAGAAAAAAGGCTCTTTGGCCTGGACTGTTTGGGGCTTTTTCAAGTAATTGCATGCCTTGGCAAATCTTAAGACGATGCCTTTATTCCTCCCTTGAGACAGAGTATGTGACACACAGACCCGCTTGGAATGCAGTGAAGCACCAGAACACCAGCTACAGGGTTGAATTTGAATCTGGGAACTGGTTATGTTCAGTTAGGATTTTAAGAGCTGCTCTCCCCCCATTCCGCTTGCTGCTCGGGACTCAGAAGCAAAGACAGGGGCCCAGCTGAACGTCACTCCTTAGGCCAGCGGGCGGCTCTCCCCTCCAAAGTGCAGCTCAGGGACCCAGGCCTCTCCCGCACTGCAGCTCTCACCTCCTGCAGCAGGGGTTCATGACCCGCACCCTTGGACCACGGGGAACCCAGGAGGTCCACAGACTAGGATGGGAAAAACATTCTACCGCTATTTGCACTAACCTCTCGCTGAATCATAGATGGTGCTTCCGACGTGAATGCGGGCAGCAAATGACGGCAGCACCAAGGAAACTTCTCCCCTGCAGAAATCAGATATTTTCATGTCACATTTCCGCTGTTGTGGATACCCTGAAACTTTGTCTATCCTCGTTCGAAATTACAGTTGACATCTTGTTGGTGAACGTATTTGTCAAGAAGTGCCTACATTACTACATCACAGATGTTTATGGTTATTGCAACGCTCTCCTGTGACCCTAGTATGCTGGTTGTTATTACTATTATGTAATCATTATGTCCCCACGTGTCAAATGTCCCTGTCATCCTCCCCAGGGAGACTGTGAACTCCTTGATGACAAGGGCCGTGTCTGACCCATTTTTATTTCCTGTGTTGAGCACACGGTTGAGAATCCAGTAGGAACCTAGCAAATATTGGGCCAAGTGAATAATGAGGATGTACAGTTACTTTACGACACTCTTGTCATAAGCAAGGTGAGAGGCCTTCTCAAGGGACATGCTGGGACATGCACTTAAACGTGGACCACATCCAAAACCCTGCTTCCAAGTGAGGTTTGCCTGCTCGGTCACACTCGTTGAAAATCAGTCCCACAGAGGTTGGGATTGACATGTATACACTAATATGTATAAAATGGATAACTAATAAGAACCTGCTGTATAAAAAAATAAATAAAATAAAATTCAAAAAACAAAAAGAAAGGAAATCAGTCCCCCCCCACATACACGTGCACACGTACACGCACACACTTACACACACATGTACACACATACACACAGCAGCCAGAAGCTGCCCCCGGCCTCCAAGGAGAATATTTATGATTTTTAATAAATTGGGACCACGGCTCATTAAGCTCCTCACCCGCACCCCCGACGCCCCTGCAGGGCCCTGACGGTTGACTTTACATATCTGAGCGCAGTGAGGCCGCGCATGCCACACCGATGAACTCACAGGGGACCCGGCTCTGTCCCTGCCGCCCAGAGAGCGCTCCTCTTTCAAATCAGATTAAAAGAAAACAAGAGTGTGGCCCATCCCCAGTGCGAGGAGCACGGAATTGTGTACTTCACTGAAGGAGGAATGTGGCCCATTAATTACTATTTGTCGTCAATTAATTGCTATTTGAAATATGGCCCCAGCTGTGAGCAGCAGGGGAGTGACAGTCGTGTGCTTACGAGCTGGTGTAATTCATCCTGGGGGCGGGCAGGGAGGCCCACGGAGGTTTGGGGCATTTTTGTCGGGAGAGGAAAGATCCAGCAGCACGTTTCCTGAACTCATGAGTAACAATGATAAGTGAGGGGCTTGGGCCATCGGGGGCCCAGGCCAATGTATCCCATGCAGTTTAGAGGTGGGTCTTGGAGCCGGCATGGTTTTCTGGGGCAGTAACTGAACATTCCTGGCCACTGACGCCAAGGGCGGGCTTGACGTGGGCGGGGGTGGGGATGGTGTGGGGCAGCAAACTCCTTCCCTGCGGTGGGTTAAGGGACCTCATGGTCAAGAGACATTCACGGGCCAGCTGCTCATGCAGGGGAGGAAGGAGCGGGGTGGCAGGGGGGTGGGGGGCGTGATTTCATTCCCGTGGTTCCCCACCCCGACTCCGATCACCAGCCCAGGGGCCTGGGCAGTGACTTAGGTTAGTCAGTGAACTCAGGGCCAGCTGGTCCCAAAGCTTGGCCGTGGGGCTGAGTGTCCAGCAGTGCAGTTATTTCAAGTGTTAAGACAAGAGCGTCCCTCTTTGGGGCGATTTTTGAGTGAAGGATAACAGACATAGGGTAAAAGGGCGCAAAGCTTAAGCTCTATAAACTTTGCAAAGCGGACGCGCCTGTGTAACCATGACCCGGCTTGAGAGCCAGACGCCCGCCAGCCCTCAAGGCTGTCCTGTGTCCCCACCCAGGTCGTTCCCCCCACAGAGGAGCCCCCTGTTCTGGTCGCTCTCGCAGGAGAGGTTCTGGCTGTTTCTGAGCCTTTGACCGGGCTGCGACCGTTCCTCTCACTTAGCATTAGGGCTGTGACGCCCGTCTGGCCCGCAGCGTGCAGCCCCGACTTTCTCACTGTGAAACGGCAGCACTTCTCAAAGCCTTTGGTCTCAGCACACTTTTACTTCCTTTATGTCTATGAATGTATACTGAAATTTAACAAAATGGAGAAATTTAGAAACATATTTATTAGCTTATTTGGAAAAGTAATAAACATACTACGTGTTATTATAAATAACACGTTTTAATAAAAATGGCTACATTTTCAAAACATTGCAGTGAGTGGAGTGCCCTTGTTTTGCCTTTTTACAAATCTCTCTGTATCTCACTCAACAGAGAGCTGGGCTCTCACATCTGCCCCTTCATCCTGTCTGCTGCGAAGTCACGTCACGCAGGAGTTCTTCTGGAATTCTCCTCCAGATGCTCTTGCGATGGGAGTATGAAAGCAAACGGATCTTGGTGATGTTATGAAAATGCTCTCTCAGGTCCCCTGAAAGAGTCTCGGGGACTCCCAGGGTCCCTGCACCCCACTCTGAGACCCTCTGCTGGACGCTATTCCAGTGTGCGAATATGTCACAACGTATTTTCCATCCTCGTGTTGATGGACATTTGCGCTGCTTTCAGTTTGGGGCCATTATGAATGAATTTGCTATGGACATTTCTGCGCGTGTCTTTCGGTACACCCCCCCACCCACACATACACACGCAGTTTTGTCGAGCACATACCTAGGAGCGGGATTGTTGCGTCCTAGGGTGGCTCAGATTAGGTTCAGCAGCTCTTCCCAAACTGTTTTCCAAACTGGTTGTTCCAGGTGGTACCCACCCCCCTGACCCCGGGCAGCATATGAGGGTGCCAGCTCATTTTTCTCCTCTTTTATTAAAAGTAAGTGATCTTATCACAGCATGGTGATAGTCAATGTAGGGGAAGAAAACCTGTGAACCACGTGTATTTTTAAAACCTTCCATTTGGAAATAATTTTAAGTTTTCAGAGTTGCAAGATTAGTAAAGAGAGTTTCTGAATACAGTCCACCCACTAAAGGTAACTTCACACCTGACCCGTGGACCTTGATCAAGATGGAGAAACCAACACAGCTACAGTACCAAGACACGACCTCACTGGGATCTCTGTTTCCCACGAAGGCCCCCTTAATGCTCCAGGATCCCATCCAGGGGACCACGTCACATCTAGTTGTCACATCTCCTTAGGCTTCCCCGTCTGTGACGGTTTCCCAGACCTCCCTTCTTTTCTGTGGCCATAATGCTCTGAAGAGTCCTGGTCAGATCTTGTGCAGAACGTCCCTTATATTGGGCTTGTCTACTGTTTGCTCTTGATTAGACTTGAGGATATGGATTTGGGGGAAGAATGCCACAGAATGGATGTGTCCTTCTCATCCCACCTATCAGGAGGTGCATGCTGTCCGAATGGCTTATCATGGGTGACGATCACTTGATCACTTTGGGCGATGCCTGCCAGCTTCCTCCACTGAAAGTTCCCTGTTCTCCCCTCCCATACTCTATTTGGTTAGGAGAGAGTCACCAAGTCCAGCCCATATTTAAGCTGCACGTCTTGGAGGGCAGAGTATCCGAGAATTTGTGGACATACGGCTACAACCGTAACAGCAATCGATAGGTCTTTCAGGGGAGACACTGTGAGGCTCTGCAGCTATTCTGCTTCTCTTAAGGTCCCGCCTACTAACTTCAGCATCATTGGTAGATCTTGCCACAGCAGCTCTTCCTAGTGATGATTTCTGATTGCCCTCATTCCTTGTACATTTATTATGTGGAATTCTTTTGTAGGAAGGATTTGTCCCCTCTCTTCCATTTATTTATTTATTCAATCATCTATTTATATCAGGATGGGCTCATGGACATTTATTTTGTTGTTCGGGTAATAACCCAATACTCTCATTATTTATTTTGTTGTTCAAATGGTTCCATTTTGGCCATTGGAAGATCTTTTGGATTACTGACTTCTGTGTCCTCTTGACACTGCCCATCTTTTATTTAAAAACACACACTTTAATTTCTGGCACTACAAGATGCTCCAGACTCATCTTGTATTTTCCCAGCACAACCTTCAAATCGGATCTTCAAGGAGCTTTGAACCAGGTTCCTTTTCAACCTTCTCTAAAGTTATGCTGCTTATTTACACGTGGAGAGTATTGTATAGGGTATTCTGATTTCCACAGGGTAAAAATGAAATGTTTCGTGTCATCAGTGGTTGAATGTGTGTTTTCTGCTCTATCTTTATGACGTAATCAAGCATCTGTTTTCCTGGTAACTTTCTTTCACAATTACAATGCTTATTTATAAAGCAGGTAAGGACTGCTACATGGTGGGGGCACCCTGTGGTTGCGGATCTGTAACACTGGAGTCAGCAAGCGGCTGGTGGGGATGTGGGCGGCGGCAGCTGAGGGCACAGACGCTTCAGGCTTCTCCGTGACTGGCGTGATGTATGTTGACCAGGTCACTGCACCAGTGTTTGGCCATTACTGCATCAGAAAGCAATGCAATCACCCAGGGTGACTGCGCTGGCAGACGGGACTCTCAGATATAAACCCCTAGGAATTCTACCCATTAAACATTCTTCACACCATCCTCGACATGGGTGACGCACTGAGTGGATAATCACACAATTTAGTGATGATGATTTAGACCCGTGACGCTACTCTAAACCCATGTAAAAACATAGCTGGTGTTGAAAATGGTGCTGAGAATTCACGGCACAGCAGGGCCACGGCTCTTTTCTGCGGGAATGGAAGGCTTCTGATTTCACTCCTGACCAGTGGTCACTGAGCTCCTGAAGCCATAATTTTGGGTTCCTCCTGAGCCCCCAAATGTCAATGCTCTTTGACACTTTTCCCTTGAAGTGAGCAGTGTGACCTGGGCATGTGGGCCACCTCTCCATTCGGGCAGGAGGTCGCAATCTGCACGCACATCTGCTCTCCGTCCCAGAGAAAGGCGCTGACATCTGAGGGACAGAATGGCATTTCCATGTTGGTTGCCATGGTGTTTTTGGCAGGAAAGGGACTAGAAAGGGTCTCTCTCTGGGGAGGGTATCTATCTTCTGATATAATTAGCCCATGTGAATCT